TATTGGTGTCAGGCTGTAGAAAATTGCAGAACAATTTCCACAAAGATCTTTGCAAACTAGATGATTTGGCCTCGAAGTGGCAAATACAATTGAATATAAGAAAGTAGAATAGAATAGAATAGAATAGAATAGAATAGAATAGAATAGAATAGAATAGAATTATTTATTGGCCAAGTGTGATTGGACACACAAGGAATTTGTCTTGATCCAAGATGGCGCCACTGAAGTGCCTTGGTGAAGTGTTCTCTAATAAGCAAGTACAAAGTGATTGCATTATAAATTCAGACTCTCCAAACAAAGGGATGGGAGCTAGGCTGACAGTTTTTGACCAAGGAGTTTTGGGGTCATGGTGGACAGCTCAATGAAAAAATAAACGCAGGGTGTAATTGCTGCAAAGGAAAGCAAATTCCATGATTCAGATCCTTAGGAAGTGGGCTGACATGGACCTGCCAAAATAGCAATACTGTTGATGGTTAGACTGCAGTTGAACTTCACTAATCTCAAAGGACATGACCTCATGAGACAGCCTTCCTATTATACCCAGAGCACAGCCAAAACCTTCTGGTTTCAGATTTATCTTCTCCTCCACTCTAAATAGTTCTTTCCAGCTTCTTTGGCAGCAACCATTGTGATAAGAAGGCTCATTGCCCTGCAGGCCTCTTGTTACATTCTCATGCTCATTGCCTTAAAACTTTTAAAGGTTGCTCAGAAGAAGCTCATCTGAGCCCAAAGGTGCTTTTTCAAGAGTCAACTGGGCTTTCTTGTTTTTCTTTGAAGACATTTCGCTTCTCATCCAAGAAGCTTCTTCAGCTGTGAGCCACAGAAGCTTCTTGGATGAGAAGTGAAATGTCTTCAAAGAAAAACAAGAAAGTCCAGTTGCTTCTTGAAAAAGCACCTTTGGGACAACCATGACTTGGATGATTGAGAATCTCCAATAGACATCAAGCTCATCTGAGCAACATCTCTGGACACCATATCCTGTTAACAACAGTGCCACTAAAGGTCTTGTTCCTAGAGTTATCAGATATCTGAACAGGCAAAGGAGGACATGGACAATTAGAAAGGAGGACAAAGGAGGGAAAAGGAGGATCCACTAACTGTTTAACTTTCTTGGCATCTGCAACAAAAAAAAAAATCTCTATAACTGTCTAGTTTGGTTCTGCAACCCAACAAGACAGACACAGACTTCAGAGGATAATTAGAACTGCAGAAAAAACAATTGCTACCAACCTGCCTTCCATTGAGGACCTGTATACTGCACGAGTCAAAAAGAGGGCTGTGAAAATACAGACGCCTCACATCCTGGACATAAACTGTTTCAACTCCTACCCTCAAAACAATGCTATAGAGCACTGCACACCAGAACAACTAGACACAAGAACAGTTTTTTCCTGAACGCCATCACTCTGCTAAACAAATAATTCGCTCAACACTGTCAAACTATTTACCCAAGTCTGCACTACTATTAATCTTCTCATCCTTCCTATCACCCATCTCCTCCCACTAATGATTATAACTTCATTGCTTGTATCCTTACAATTTATATTGACTGTTTCCTAATATGATCTGATTGCTTATTTATACCCTATGACTATCATTAAGCGTTGTACCTTATGATTCTTGACGAACGTATCTTTTTTTTTATGTACACTGAGAGCATATGCAACAAGACAAATTCCTTGTGTGTCGAATCACGCTTGACCAATAAAATTCTATTCTATTCTATTCTATTCTATTCTATTCTATTCTATTCTAAAAAACTGCTAAAAATGTACTTGGATCTACATGCATATGAAATTACTTTTTCTAGCATCAGAAAGACTGGTTTTCCAATTTCAGTATTTTTTGAACACATATATCTTTTCAAGAACAAATGCTATGGTAATGTAGCATCCACAGTGGCACGCTTTTAAAATTTCATCATAGAACTAATATGACTCGCCATAAGATCTGTGATCATAGATTTGAAGGGGCTGGGTTGAAGCTGATTGCTGGAATTAGAAAATAACATAAATCTGGAGTCTGTCTAACTGCAGTACACAAAAGTCTGAATAATTGTATTTATTTATTAAAGGTATGTTAAATGTTATGCAAATGGTCCCTGCTCTCCCCCAAAACCCAAAGATACTCAAAATGCCAAACAATATTTCATCTGAAAGTTATTCCTGCCAGATAGAAGAGGACATGAGGATAATAAGGAGGACCTGTCCTCTTTTTGTTGGATGTCTGGTAACTCTACCAGATCTACCTATCGGCAAGACTCCTTAAAACTCTGCAAAGAATTGTCAGTTCTTTTGTCCTTTAAATAAAAAATTGTGGTCGTACTACCAAATAAAAAAAGGATTTCTATACAGACGCATTGAACCTTAAGCTAAGGTTGAAGCTGTTTATTGCCTTCCCTCACCTTCTCTCAAGTCTTAAATAGGGAGAAAAACAGCAGCCCTTGTTCCTTCTGTTTGTTTAGTTTGAGAAAATACATTAATCTGGTTGATATGTAGCTGCTTCCAACAGAACACTGACTGTTGACCTGGCACCCAGCATTTCATGAAGATTTATCTCATGAACCCTTAGCACGCACATTCTTGAAATTCGTGGCCTGCCCATGCAAGGCTTGCATTTTGTGGAGAAATGTCCAGCGCAGTTGTTATTGTTATTTGGCATGTCACAATGTTCCCAGTCATCTTCTGTTCCTTCTCAAGAGAGTGGATTAATTTTGAGTTTGTGTTTTGCAAGACCTTGCACAACGACCACTCATCAATGGATTCAGCTAAACTAATTTTAGTTTGATGGGTCAGTTTGAGATCCATGTACTTTAGAGCTAAAGCTCTAATTTGATTTTAATGGATTGATTCATTTTCTTTAAAAAAAAAAGCTCTGATATAATTAGGCAATATGTATATGCATGAGTGTGGATGTGTGAGTGCACGTGGGTGTGTTTTTTAATGCATATTTCGATAAACTGCTTCGATAAAGTTGCAACAGAGATTGTGTTCACATGTTGCATCAAACCACAATGGAGTTGACTTGTTTTGGCTTAGTGTAATGGGTTAATATAGCACTGTGAATGATGAATCATGAAATGTGATCCAGTGTGCTGCATGGATTCTGCCAATTTATTAAACAATTTTAGATAAATAAAGTAGCGTAGCATAGTATTTTTTAAAAAAAATTTCTCCCACCTTCATTACTATTTTCATAAATAAGTCAAGGCTGTGAACATACCTAATGTTGTACTTCTTTCTCCTCTTATTCTTCCCTCCGCAATAACCCTGTGAGCTAGGTTGGGCTGAGAGAGAGAGAGTGACTAACCCAAGATCTGTGAAGAATTCACAGACTCTTGGTTTCTAGCCTACTGCCTTAGTTAGCTGGAGTTATAATCCATGATTTATAGTTTAGTTACATTTGATTAAGTGACTATAGTTTGTACTTTAGTAAACCATAGTTAAAACAAACTAATGCTCTCACACAACATTTCACAGATTAATGCTTTATCTATGAAATACATGTACTGCTTAAAAATAAAATACATCCTTTTGGTTTTAGAACTACTACTCTAGTCATGGGCTGTTATAATTGTTGAGCAGAAATACAGTTATAATGGCTAAGATATAATTGAGCTGCATCTCTCTAACGTGTTCCAACAGAGGTTGAGTAACAAATACTTTTAGGAAGAGGGGAAATAGGAGGGAGAAATCAATTCCCTGTTGCTTATGGCTGTTGGAGACGCACTATCTCTTAACAGGGGCTTTTGTTTTATGATAAAGTTAATAGTAAGTAGTTCCTAAACCTGACCTCTATGAATTTGTTTAATCCTTAAAAAAAACAAAACCAGCATCTAAACTGGTTCTTACTGCTGGATCTTGTGAAATATGCTAAACATTAATTCCATGTTGTGCAAAGAAATCCAGAATTTGTTTTCAGTTACCTTTCATAGCATGATGTGCCAGTATGTACATTATAAATGAAAGAGTAAAGCACTAAGAAATTACAAATAATGTAGATAATAAAATAGAAATATATCAATACTCTCTTTAGTTTTCTTTTTCCCCAATTAAATTGTTTCAACTTCATCAACTCATAATTACTGTTCTGTCTCTCATTAATTATAATGTACCACAATCCATATCTACTCAAAATAAATAAGGGGACCCTAAAAGATAAACCTCTCTTTCTCTTTTCTGGATTGAATAAATATCCAAATTGTTTGGAGACAGACATGAATTTGGCTTGGATTTAAACCATGACAATACAAGTCTTTGGGGCCTTTTCCAATATTGACTGTAAGATGAGCATTAATGTTCAGAAGGGTCCTTGTGTATAGGACACACAAAAAATTATTTTCACTAGGATTTTTATAAAGTATGCCTCAAATCTGATGTGCAGTTCCCATGTGGAATTCTGTAAATTGACATCTCAACATACTGGAGTGGGGAGTTGGCTATGGCGAGTTGGCCGCGGCAAGCTGGCTGTAGTGAGTTGGCCATGGTACATTGGCTTTGGGGAGTTCTCCTAGACCAGGGAGTTCTCCGGAGCCGCTTGTGGCTCTTTCATCCCTCTGCTACGGCTCCCTGTCACTCAATATGCATCACAACCGCCAATGTGTGACACCCGCCGGCACATGATCTGATCCACCTTTTTTTTCCAGAGTTCAAAATGTTTTTGTTGCATGCAGAAATGAAAATTTGTTTTCTCTGTAGCAGTTCATTGATTTCATAAATGCAACCCATTATAGTTTTTTAATACATAGCATAAAGGTAAAAAACGATATATGCATTTTAGATGTCAAAAGGGTTTTGTGGCTCCCGGTGTTTTCTTTTCTGTGGGAAACGGGTCCAAATGGCTCTTTGAGTGTTTAAGGTTGCCGACCCCTGTCCTAGACCCATTGGTAAAAGCTTCATGATGGCTTCACACGCGTGTGTCTGAGGAAAGCTGCCTCCATTGATCTATGAAAAAAAAAAAATCTGCACCATCCTATTTTCTGCTCTTGTTTGTCCTTTCAGCCTGGGAAGGTGTCCGAGCCTCACAACTTCAAAGAGAAGGTTTTTAAGAAGAAGAAAAAGGCATGTATCGTCTGCAAGGAATCCATAGAAGCCCAAGGGCTTGTGTGCAGAGGTAGGATGTTTTTCTGTTGTTGGCTCATTTGTATTCCTTATATTGTGAGAAAATGCGGAAATGGCTTTGAGAAGGCAAAGCTTTGATGCAGTCTTCTTTATAGTGGTGCCCACCAGGACTGCCATGTCATTAATCTGGGTGGGTATTTTTTATTATGGATTTCACTGCACAATAAAAAAATAAATAAAATAATAAAAAACAGCGAGGACAACAGCGAGGACATTAGCCCCTTCCTATACCTGAAATGTAGCTTCACCCAACATGCTTTGCAGTATTGCTTTGCCAAAAAAACAAGATACAGATAGTCCTCGACTTACGACCACAATTGAGCTTCTGTCACTGACATTTGTTAAGTGAGTTTTGCCCCATTTGACAACCTTTTCTGCCACAGTTGTTAAGTGAATCACTGCAGTTGTTAAATTAGTAACACAGTTGTTAAGTGAATGTGGCTTCCCTATTGAGTTTGCTTGTCAGATGGTCACAAAAGGGAATCACGGGAGCCTGGGACACTGCAACTGTCATAAATATGAATCAGTTGTAACCTGAATTTTGATCACATGACCGTGGGGATGAGGCAATGGTTGTAAGTGTGAAAAATGATGGTAAGTTACTTTTTTCAGTGCCCTTGTAACTTCAAGTGGTCACTAAATGAACTGTTGTAAGTTGAAGACTGCCTGTACTTGGGATGAAAGCATCAGAAGGCATCTATGTTTACCATTATCCTGAATACTGAAATGTTTCTTTATTTTTTTTTCTCTTGCAGTGTGCAAAATGGCAAGCCATAAAAAATGCGAAGCCAAGGTAATAAGTGCTGGGAAACATTTGGTTGGGTGCCTCAAATGGGTATTTTTGGCTGGGTATTTTTTTTTTTGTATCAGATTTTGTACCATATCCTGTTTAATTCATCCTACATTGTGAGAGAGCATACATGTTCATTTCTTCTGATTGTTCTAACTCCACATCACAAAAATTCACTCAAAGGTGCAAAGGAGCAGTGGAACTCCCCCATATGACATTCCGTTCCTTGTGTGGGTCTGTTGGTCCTAGGGCTGGAATTGCGTGCCACCCGTCTCCACCATACGTCACAACCTATGCTGTTATTCTTCAGTGCAGAATGTTGCCTGAACAAGAGTTTCATTTTGCTTCCAAAAACAGTTTAACCACTTCTTTAAGGATCCCTCTTTGAAGGAGGAAAGCATTTTGTTTCTGCTTCTGAGATCTACTTCTGAGATCCCTGCAGGATGTTAGGATAACGTTAGAATGCTCTGAGGCAGCTAAAACTCAACAGTAGGAAAAGGGCAACCGAAATGAGAGGCGAGTGGAAACAAAGGAAAAGAGGAGAGAAAGGAAGCTGGAACAAACAAGGAAGCCATCTGGTTTCCAGATGACTTGAACTACATCTTCCATAAGTCCTGGCCAGCAGGAACAGGAATTTTAGAAGATATACTGCCAAATATCTGGAAGACACTAAGTTGATTGTCCCTATAATATGTGGTTGTTTCCATTGCTTGTATTTATCCAAGGCCACAAAATATGGTGAGGGTTGGTATTTTGTGATTGATTTTTTCCCTCTCTCTCATTTTGCCACAGCCATACAAAAAAAGATAAGGATTTTCAGATTTTTCTATACTTTGGATATCTTGGAATTCCCTCTCTCATACATTTCAGCTTGCTAGGATTTTAGGGAAATATCTACAGATGAGTCATTTGGTCCCTCTCAAGATTCCATTCCAGTAAAAAAATAAGAAAGAAAGTCCCCATATAGAGTCTAATTTCTTAAAAGAAGGCTAAGATAAACAGGAGACACAGGCTGACATCAGCAAAGGTATCTTTGTTTATACATTCGGAATACACTGCACGAATCCCCTGATTTAACGTGCGAGAATTTCCTGAATGCAGATTGCAAAAAAATGAAGCAGAGGACAAAACCAAAGCTTAATTATAGCTGAATGTTATGGAGCAATATTGTAGTACTATTACATGTACACCACAATGTACATGTGATGATGCTATTGCAACATCAGGGCCATTTTCCTTTACATCTGGAAAATTCTCCTCATATTGTCTGGGGAAACCTGGGAATTATGGTTCCGTGGACCTAGAGAAGACCATGATGGAGAACATGACAATTCAGGGGAGGAAAGTTGGCCTAGGCCCTTCTCCCTACATTTTTAATACCGCTTGGAAAACAGAATTATGCGGCTGCATCAACTGTACCGTATTCAGTGGGTGTCGCACTGCTTGCTCTATAATAGGTATTTTACCAGAGCTGTCTTACTCAGAAGGTTCTTGTGTTTCCAAACTGAGTTCAGAAGAAAGCTAAAGTGACACAGAACTGGGTTTCCCACTCAAAAGCTGCCCTATCCCATAAGTTATATGGGTCATTGCTTGGGATAATAAAATACCAAAAACATTACATTTTAATGAAAAAAAAATAGTTACCACCTTCTTCTGGAGTTCAGTCCTTTCGGACAATAGACTTCGCAGGATCAACTGCCTTTATCCCACCCATTTCCCCCCCTAATTGTAGCCCCTAAACCTTCATTCTCCCTATTAGTTTTCCTCAAACTGCTCATTGTTTGAATCTACAGCATATTCCAAGCAAAAGTCTCTCTTCTTCAGTGTGGTTGCTGCATGGAAGATTGGCAAAGTTGAAAGGGGAGAAAATAATGTCCCCATCTCATGCATAAACGTGCATATGGAAGAGGGGAATTTTACCTCATTCATGTGAGTTTCAGTTGAACTGCACAAGTGTTCAAGCGATGTATTCAGAACTTTTAAAAACTTGAATGGCTATTCACACGTGGAAGTGGCCACCGGGTGTTATAACCATTGATCAAGGAGAACGTAGGTGCCCACTCTCTACCTTCCCCCACAAAGCTGAGATTAAAAAGTTTACTCAAAGGCTGAAATACATTTTGGATGTGCCCAAGTAATCAATTTCAACAAAATAGGTGACCAAAGTTAATTCCGGGCATCCTGGCTTCATTATTTCTCCCAAAGAGTCTGGCATACAAGGAAGCTCTAGCCAGTGTCCTCATCAGCCAATATTGTAGCCTTTCCCTGTTGGTAACCTCAGATCAATCCCTGGCACTCGGGTTTCATTGGTGGGTGTGTGGAAGTGCAATACACCTATGCATAAAGATACATTGTACAAGCTTCTATCTATAGAACCTGTACTGTCTCAATGAGCTGTCAGCTTTGGACTATTCCCAGAAACCAAAGAGGAGAACTTGCTGGGGGGAGATGGAGGGGTCATTTGGATTCTCCTTGCTTTCAGGCTGGGATTTTTTTTTCTCTTTGCAGATAATTCGTTGTCAGGCAAGCTGACATGGCAAGGGGGGAGGGGGGGCTGCTGGAGGGAGACAGCAATAGTTGCAAAGTCTCCGGCAAGAATCTTGGTTGAATTCTGGGAGAGAAGCATTGGATGGCCAAGGGCTGTTCATTCTCAAGGGCCATGTTCACCCAGAGGGTGGCAGCAGCAGGGACAGCTGTAATTAAGGGGGAAAGCATGATTCAAGAGATAAAGGTCAACTGGGATGACCTCAGGGGGACCTCCAGAGTTGCCTGGCTACTGGTGAATGTAGCTGGGGCCTTTTGGTTTACAAGCAGACCTTTAGTTATGGGTGGGAGAAAGGAAGAGAAAATTCAAGCATTTTTACGCTCTCACATTATGTGAAGTTCTATGTTTTCAACAAAGGCTTCCCTCATATATTTCCCAATATATGAACACAATCAGACATAATTAAACTAAAGAAAAAAGAATTGTCAAATATTTCTAGCCCAGTGTTGCTCTGTATATTTTCTAAAACAAAAGATCTCTCACACTTTATTTTCCTCCATATATCTTTCTTTCTTTCTTTCTTTCTTTCTTTCTTTCTTTCTTTCTTTCTTTTCTTTCTTTCTTTCTTTCTTTCTTTTTCTTTCTTTCCTTCCTTCCTTCCTTCCTTCCCTCCTTCCTTCCTTCCTTTCTCTTCCTTTTTCTTCCTTTCTTTTTCTTTCTTCCTTTCTCTCTCTTTCTCCCTCCCTCCCTCCCTCCCTCCCTTCCTTCCATAGTTCACAAAGCTGATTATATGTCCCACCTTGAGCTTAACTAGCTTAGTTTCACCAAGATTCCTATTCTGTGTACTTTCTAACCATGCCTTGAAGAAACCAATCCTCAACAGGCATTTGCTGTGGTTTCCTGTCTTGTTTCTTGTTTAGCTTCAGCAGGGGTATAACCAGGGGTGGACTGCTGGGGTTTCGCAGAGGTTCGGGAGAACCTCTAGGTAAGATTCTGTACAGTTCAGAGAACCCCCAAATCCCACTCCTGGCTGTCCCCGCCCACCCCGCTCTGCCTCTCCCAGGAGTCCCCAAGCAGCCCGTTTGGATGCAGGTAAATGCAGGGGGCGCGTAGAGGCTCGGGGAGGGCGAAAAATGGGCCTACTGGAAGTTCAGCAGGGCCTCCAGAGGGCCTCTGGAGCCTGGGGAGGCTGTTTTTGCCCTCCTGGAGGCTCGAGGAAAACTTCCGGAGCTCAGGGAGGGCAAAAATACCCCCCCACACACACCGTGGTGCAGGAGGCCAACTAGGCCACGCCTACCATGGCCACGCCCACCCAGCAACTGGGCAGAGAACCCCTTGCTAAAATTTTTGAAGCCCACCCCTGGGTATAACAGCATCTTCAGACTTTCTGGGAGACTCTGAAAGATATAGTTCCCAGACATCTAGAGGCCACCAAACTGGAAAGGTTGGGTTATAGTACCTGGTGTTCCTCCTCAAATGGTTCCCTAGGACTCTTTTCTCTCTAACTTTGCTAGCTGTCTCCATCTGTTTTCAGCCTGGATGACAGCCATTTATATTCTCTCCCAACAGATCATTTCCACCCTTTACAATTCAATCAGTCAAAAGCACTGAGGCATTTTTCAAAGATGTTGTGGGGATCCAGACTGGGATTTTTTTTGCAATGTAAGGGTAATGGAAACAGGAAGGAAACCAAGTGAGGTCACATCTGCCTCTTCTGTGGAACCAAGTTCTGATATCCTGAAATGCAATCCAGGAAAGCTTTTGAGAGCTGATTCCTTGGATGCATATGCACCCACCTGTTCGGTTGCAATGTGTCACCTCATGTGACTTCATTCAGGGATGGTCTCTGGAGCTGGACCAGGCAGACCTGGGAGATCTGGATCGCTGGCCCTTTAAGTCAGCATGGGGCTGTTCTTCTAAATTGTGTAATTATGGAGCGGAGTTTGCCTTGGAGCGAGGCCAAGGACTGCAGCTGGAGGAGAAGCCACTTGACTTTCAGTCTGCTGTTGTTTGGGGACTTTTTTCCTTTTCACGGAAAAAAAAATCAGGCTGTTTTCGTAAACGCGGCTCTGCTTTCTGGAAGGAAAATATTGGAATTTAGGAGGGAAGGAGGCTGAGGAACAGAGAAAAGTAACCGAAGCACCAAGAGACCAGATCATAGTGCAGTTTTGGTTCCCCGTCCATGGTACAGCTAGTGCTGCTGGTTCCCTCAGCCCTGCTGGTGCCTCTTCTGGGAAGCTCTGTGTTGGAGTGAGAAGAAGTCAAAAGATCTGGGTAACCGCCTGGGCTATGGGCAGAGAGAAGATCTGCAGGTGAACTGGCATGAGATTTGGCACTTGGAGCAGGTGCGTAGAATATAGGTTTTCTTTAGCAGAAATGTCCTTTCTTCCCTCTCCACAAGAGGGCAGCATTGCTCCCCTAGAAGGAATGCTAGTGAGTGGAAGCTGGGTCAATGGGACAGTTAGGTATGGGGTAGTTATTAATTTATGTTTCTGTCTAATAAAAAGATAAGTCTATC